GGGGGGGGGAGGGATCGAACTCATGCTGCAGTGGCTGGATAGCTTGATAGCGCTGTCTTTAACCCCTGCACCACCAGGGAGGCCCTGCCTCAGTGCTCTTTTATACTTACTACTCCTCACTGGTACTGGTCCCCCGATTATTCCAATAGGTGCAAAGACAACAGTTGAAAATCTGTCACTATGGAAACCCATACAGCACTAAAAAGGGGGAGGCCGATGAACTCATCACAAATGCCAGAGCAAAAAAACCTGAAAGGAGTCCCGAAGCAGCAGAGCTGTGGATTATGACAGAAGGTGAATGCAGGGCAACAGTTTTGGTAACACTGATGGAACTTAAGGAAACAATGAAGGATATAAAACAACAGAATAAAGAAGGAAAATATGGGGCTTCACTGGTGGCACAAGGTGTTGAGACACAACCTTTGAATCTGTCTGTAGCCACTGCAGCATGAGTTCAATCCCTGGCCAGGGAGCTACCCACCTGGTACAGCAGACCTCTCCTGACTAGCCCACTGCTCCCCTCAGCAGTGTATTTCAGTCAGTCTGCCTGTTCTGCTCCCCACTCTGTCTCTGGTGAATCCTCTCACCCCCCGCACCTCTGGTCTATACCCCACCTCTGGCCTGTACCCCAGTTCTTTTATGCATAAATAAATAAATCTTAAAAAATATATATAACCTTTGCCTGCCTGTGTCTGTGCAAACAACTTTATCTCCTGGGTAAATTTGCTGTGTGCCACTTTCAGGGGAACTCTGCCAAAACTTTTCTCAGAGGTAACCCAAGGACCCTGTTCACTGAACCACATACCTCATCAAAACACTATATGGCGCCAAACATGGGGCCTTCTAGGCACCAGTATATTATCTTTTCATTCTGATTGCTTTAGATGTTATTTTTGATATGCTACAGTTCCAAGATGAAGGACAGTCGGATATTGTAATTGTTGCTGTTGACTCAATGTCTATTTTTATATATTTAATTTTTTATTACAAATTTAATTTACTTGGAACTTTATCTTTGGCTGCCGCAGACCAGCACAGCAGTAGACGATGAGGCCACCTCAGGGTTGAGAGAAGCGTGCAGGGTGGTCAGGGAGTCGGCGAAAGAAATGACAAACAGACACACTTCAAGAGTGAAAATCTGAGTGTAATTTTCTTTAAGTTTGTGACTAGTATATATATGTTTTCTAAAAGCACAGGAATGAATATCAAAGAAATTAGCTTGCTCGCTGGCTCAGTCTATCACTATCAGGGAGGTGATCTACATAACAAGCAATGACCATTATAGAAGAAAGGAGGAAGTTTAGAAAGACAGATAAGGGATTAAAGTTTGTAGTTCTAGAAAGACAGGATAAGATTTTTAGCATTCTTGTAGTGGTTCTTGGTGGTCGTTAGTTATCTTTTGATAAGCTTCTGCCTTTTCAGGGAACTTCTGCTGCACTTTCTCTGCTTCAGGCTGTTCTCCCCCCCGCGCGCTGGTTGCCCAGCCGGATCTAGGGACCATGGCGAAAGCCATTCCTAAAGATCACTGCGGGGGGAGGTGCAGCAGGTAGGGTTTTGCTGTTCTCCCCCTGCGCGCTGGTTGCCCAGCCGGACCTAGGGACGGTTAGCCCTAAAGGTCACTGCAGGGGGAGGTGCAGCATTTGGCAAATCCTTGATGTTTGAGTTTAGAGACCAGAAAACAGAAAGACTTACCTTTGCTTATCCAGGTGTCTGGGGGCACTACCAATTTTAGAATACATCATAATAAATTTTTGACATGGGAAAAAAGAGAAATCTTAAAGGCGTTATTAATAAAGCAACAGAACAAGGCAACAAGGGGTTACTATTGGCAACTACATGCCAATAATTGTGATAACCTTAAAAAAATGAATAAATTCCTAGATCAACATAATTTTCCAACACAGCACAAAACAGATGAACAAACCTGATCACAAGCATGGAAAGGGAAACTAATAAAATCCTTCCAAAAAAATGCCCAGGACCAGATGACTTTACAAATGAATTTTATCAAACTTTTAAAGAACTAATGCCCACCTTGCTCAGATAGTTTTTTTTTATAGTCACACTTGCATTTGATTTAAAAAATACAACAACCCTCACACAAGGTTCTTGTATGAATTCTAATTAAAAGACATTACATTCAGAATTATAGCACCCAGTGATAATTTTCAGAAGATGCTAACAGCTTCTTTGCCACTTAGGGAAGGTACAGAGGGTGAAGCTGTTTACCTGAATGTATTCTTTTTTTTAAACTAATTTTTTAAAAAGATTTATTTATTTATACAAGAACCACGGTACAGTCCAGATGCACGGGAGGGTGAGAGGATTCACCAGAGACAGAGCCGGGAATAGAACAGGCAGATTGACGAAATACACTGCTGAGGGGAGCAGCAGGCGCGACAGGAGAGGTCTGCCGTGCCATGTGGGACCCTCAGGGGGGCGGGGATCTATCCAGTGGCGCAGCAGAGGCTGCGGACAGCTTCACAGCGCTGTGCTCAATCGCCTGCGCCACCAGGGGAGGCCCGACCTGAATGTATTCTTAAATAAGTGACTACAACTGCTCTAATTTTCCTAGATGTAGCTCAGTTACAAATTACTGACCTGCGAGTTTGTGTTTCAGACTTTCTTTGCCAACACAGATTAATTCCAAGAGCGCCACCCCCAAAGTCTTAGGGTGAATTGGGAACGGGCCAGTTAAATGAGGAAACAGGCCATTCCTTGGTAAAAGTTTGTAGTTCTCTTTCCCAATACATCTTTTTATTGAGAACTTCCATTTTTATCCTGTGTTCCTCCTCTGCCATCTCACACTCTCGCTCTATCTGCTGGATTTTGGCCACATGCACCTCATTCATTTGTATCAGCTGCAGTTGTAAGAGGGACATTTGTTGATGGTGTTCTTCCTCAGGCATCTTTTTTAAAGCACCTTCCTGAGAAGTTTTGCTCCTGTAGTTTTTTTTTTTTTTTTTTTTGGTGGGACCCTCGCCGGGCTCTCCACAGGCTGCGGGCAGCCTCACAGCCCAGCGCTCAACCGCTCCGCCACCAGGGGAGGTCCTTGCTCCTGTAGTTTTTACTGGCTGTTATTCTGACAGCTGCACAGGAGGGTTCAGGTTGAGATGTCCCGACCTCACTTACTGGAAAATGTATGGACTCTTTCTCATCATCGCACAGTTCTCTCTTTGAAACAGCAAATGATTCTTGGGCCGCGGGGTCCGGATGGAACTGGGGCTCCTCTTCCGGGGGGCCCTGGAGGAAGTAGAGCTGCTCCCCAGCACGTGGGTGCTCAGGAGGGGGCTGACGCTCCGTTTCACTTTTCATGGGCCAAAATTTTTTTGGGCCGAGCCTTGGTGTTCCCCCAGCACTTCTTCAGCTGCTTGAAATCCCTCAGGGACACGCCGGGCTGAAAGTTGCACCCGTGGGCCAGAGCCCGCCAGGTGCGCTCCTTGAGGGCAATAGTTCGGGCATCACTTTTCTTACATTCCAGCATGTATTTGTACGTTTCTACTAAAGCAAGCAGGATACTCTTTTCCAGTTCTGAGAAGTATTTGGCAGATTTTATAATTTCGTTGTTTTGCATTTTCCGCTGTGTTTGTCCTGGCGGTTAGCTAGCCTGCAGCAGCCGCGCAGCGGCCAAGGCGCCCGGGGGAGGGGCCGGCGAGGCGCGTTTGCAGGCGGCCTGGACTCATCTCACCCGGAGAGCCGCGGGTTCCTGAGCGCCGGCCAGGCCCCGCCATGCTCCGCAGCCACCTCAGATAGTTTTTAAAATACAAGAAGGAATCCTCCTTTTTATAGTTTGTGATGTCATCATCACGGTAATACTGTCACTGTGGGGGCCTCCCTGGTGGCACTAACAGTTAAGCGTCAGCACTATGAGGCAATCTGCAGCTACTGCAGCACGAGTTCGATCCCTGGCCAGGTAGGTGACCCACATGGCTCAGCAGACCACTCCTGTCTCGCCCGCTGCTCCCCTCAGCAGTGTATTTCAGTAGATCCACCTGTTCTGCTCCCCACTCTGCCTCTGGTGAGTCCTCTCACCTCCCCACCCCACCTCTGGCCTGTACCCTACTTCTTGTATGCATAAATAAATAAATCTTAAAAAAAAATACTGTCTCTGTGAGCTGAAGAACTGCTTTGAGCCTTTTGGAAATACCCTTTAAAATCTCCAGTTTAAATATCTTGGATGGGGCCTCCCCTGGTGGCACAGTGGTTGAGTGCTGCGTTGCGAAGCTACCCGCAGCCTCTGAAGCGCTGGTTCGATCCCTGGTCGCTGGCGAGGGTCCCACATGGCGCGCAGAACTCTCCTGCCTCCCGCTGCTCCCCTCAGCAGTGTACTTCGGTCCTTCTGCCTGTTCTGCTCCCCGCTCTGGCTTTGGTGAATTCTCTTACCCTCCCGCGCTTCTGACTGTACCCAGTGCTTGTATAAATAAATAAATCTTAAAAAAAAAAAATCTTAGATGGAGTTGCTACCTTTTCTAAATATCTAGCTTCTACTTTGATTTTATTGTGAATGTATTGTCATTCTTGTGTCAGTGGTGTTTTTAATCTTTATAAATTCAAGATTTCTAATAAATATATATATATTTTAAAGATTTATTTATACAAGCACTGGGTACAGTCAGAAGCGCCGGAGGGTGAGAGAATTCACCAGAGCCAGAGCGGGGAACAGAACAGGCAGACTGACGAAATACACTGCTGGGGGCAGCAGGAGAGGTCTGTCGCGCCATGTGGGACCCTCGCTGGTGGCCGGGGATAGAACCGATGCTGAAGAGGTTGCGGGCAGCTTCGCAACCCAGCACATAACCGCTGCGCCACATAACCGCTGTGGGGTGGGGGGGAGGGGGGCCCAGTTTGTTTGTTTTTTGATGCTTTTGTTCTTTTCTAGTTTCTTTTTTTTTCCCTAGCCATAAACAGTGTTATTTCAGAAAAATGAAACAAGACAAAGGGAGGGCAACTATCCATTACTTAGCATACTTCTGTTATGTCAAATCTGAGTTTAAGTTCCCATGGTCCTGTTAAACTTTTTCTGTAGTGAGCGGGGTTGTCTTCTTTCTTTCCACGTGCTTCATGTCTGCGATGTGTGATAAGTCTCCTCCTTTGGTGCCTTTGCAGTAATCTCCTTGTGGAACTCTTTGAGAACTTCCATCTGGCCATGTCTGATGTGGATGTGGGACCGGATCTTGCTGATAGCTTTTACAGCCTCCTCTGGACTCCAGTTGCTCACCTGAATAAGATATGCTGCTGCCATAGCGGCACTCCTAGAGCGCCCAGCTTTACAATGCACGTGGACACTCTGACCCTGCGATCGGTACTTGAGAGCAAACTGGACTCGTTTGTGGAGGTTAACCAAGGTTGGGATTCCGGTCATATCGATTGTGCTGAGCCGCAGCTGCTCGACACCTACTTTTTTCCACTCCTTCGAGGAGTTGCACAGAAACCCCGTCTCATACTCCTCGTTCATGGTGATCACCCCGCGCACGTTCTCGTCCTGAATCAGCCCGCGCGTCAGGCTCCGCAGCGGCAGCGCGCCCAGCAGCACCGCGTGGTCGATGTGGGGGTACCAGGCGCAGTGCGCGGCCGGGGATCTTCCCGCGGAACAGCGTGTGCAGCAGCGTCGGGTAGAAGAGCACCCGGGCCAGGCCGGCCTCCAGCAAGCCGCCGGCCGCCATCCCGCGCCACCCGGCCGGGCGCAGCGGCAACCCCCGGGCCGTTGCCCCGGGCCGTGCTCGCGGGCCGCGGCCACGAGTGGACATGGGAGGCCGGCGCGGGCCCCGCGGGCGCCGAAACTCTGGGCCCGGCCACTCTTTTCTAGTTTCTTCAGGTGCTGTTAGGTTGTTTATTTGAAAAAATTTTTTTTTTAGTGTGGGCCTGTATTACTATAAACTTCCCATACAGTACTACTTTTGGAGCATCCCATACCACCTGGTTGCTCATCTCTCCATTTTTGTTGGTATTTAGGTAATTTTTGATCTCTTCTTTGACTTGTTCATTGATCCAAGAGTTGTTCAGAAGCATTTTGCTTAGTTCCACATGCTTTGGTTTACATCAGTACTATTTTTATGGAAAATTCCTAGTTTTACAGCACGATGATCTTGAAAATGCTTGATATAATTTCTATTTTCATATATTTTTCTGAGACATGTTTTATGACCTAGTATATGATCTATTCTTGGAAATGTTCAATATGTACTGGACAACAAAGTATATTCATTTCTTTTGGGATGGAAAACTCTGTAATGTCCAATAAATCCATCTGTTCTAACACTTCATTTAAGGTCTTTATTTTTTTGTTAATTTTCTGTCTAGATGACCTGTCCCTTAGTATCAGAGGTGTATTGAGGTCTCCAATAATGATTGCATTTTTGTCAATATGTTGTTTTAGATCTGTTAATAGTTGATTTTGTAACTAGGCATTCCTGCATTATGTGCTTATTAGTAAGTGATGTCTTGTTGGTGAATTGTTCCCTTGATCATTATATACTGTCTAGCTCTGCCTTTGACTACCTTTTTCAGTTGAAATGAAACAGCAGTAAAGCAGGGTCAATGGACAGTAAAACAGTGCCAAGGTGGGGAACATTGTGGACTCTCAGCCTTGTGCAAACAGTTGGAAGAACACTCAGGCTCAGGGAACAACCATAGTGGGGTTTATTTAACGAAGATGAAATTGGAGAAACAAAGAGTTTCTAAGGCCACAGGTGACCGGCTGTCACACCCTCAGTAGTGTCTGCAGTGTCCAGTAGTCTCAAAACAAAGGTTGCTTGTGCTAGATGGCACTGCCCTGTCAATGAGGGCCTGAAGATGGAGGCACACAGGCTAGCAGTGGGTCAGGACACAACTCACGGTGGCAGTTAGAGATGCTCACTGTTGGACCACTGAGGAGACACTGATGGGGGAAAGACAAACTCCACAAACAGGTTTTATGGACCCCACCCCCACCCAAGACCAAAGAGATCCAAGACATCAACAACTACACATCCTATAATGTCATCACCACCCAAGGGAGGGTTGCTGGGAACTGAGGAGTTAAGGAGTTAAGGAGTTAAGGAGTCAGGCTTGATATATAACCAGATATATGGGTCTTGGGGGGTCTAGGTTTTTCACTGGCCTTCGCGTGCTGTTGGGGTTCCAGCTCAGCAGAACTGGTAGGACACATTTACCAATTCATCTCCCTCTCTTTCTCCCTGAGTTATTCATTTCTTCATTTCTCTTTCTTTTGTAAATAAACCCTTTATTAAACTTTTTGTATGTTCCTGCAGTTGAGTCTCATTGTAAGTCCCTTTTAAGTGTGCAGGTGAGGACCCACAGTCAGGCAACCCATTTCACATCAGGGTTGCCCTGTAACAATGCCACAGTTATCCACAGTACAATCTAAAGGCCAGGCTAATTAGCACCAGATGCTGGACCATACAGCAATAGAAGCAACAGCACCAGGAGGCAGTGCCAGATGATTGCATGCAGTGGAGAGCTCTCAAAGGTGACCAGACATAGTGTCTGCCACCTGTCAACAGTGCTGGACAGCAATGGCCAGAAGTGTTGATCGGCAATGGCCAGCAGGAGGTGGTATCAGAGATACTAGTGTTAACAGCTCTTTGAGTCAGCAGGCCCAAAGCCTATGGTGTTCCTTGCACATGATGTCAGAGGCAGAGCTGGATGCAGCTGTAGTGGCTGGGTTCCTGTGAAGGTCTATGGAGTCTGCGAAGGTTTTTGGTGGTCTGGAGTTTGCAGGGGTCCACTGAGGTTGTCTGCTCGATGCTTCTCTTCTTCGAAGACTGGCTGCTGAGTCTTTCTTCAGAGGTCTGCTGCTGATCCTTCTTTGGAGGTCCCCCATTCAACAGCCTGTTTGGACCATTTTCAACCCTAAGCATCTGATTGGTGCACCAATTAGCACCAATCAGCTTGTTTCCACTTTTCAATCCAAATAATTAATTAACTGAGCTTGAAACTGATTGGTCCATTGAGCTCAAACCTGATGCTCCATTTGCCATCCAGTGCCAAATACAAAAGGGATACCCTGGTGTCTTCATAGACTCGACCTAGCCTGAGGTCAGGGAGGCTCATGGGCTTGATCCAGCCTCAGTGGGCCCAGAGGCATTACTGCACCCCTTACCCCCTTCAGCAGGTAGGCATGCTGCACCAATGCCCCTTCTGCACAGCTAGAATAAATGCAAAGTTGGGAGGGGGGTCCCAGCGGCAGTCGAATGGGTTCCACTGGGAGCCCTCCATGTTGGTCAGGGACTCCGCAGGCTGGGAGCGGCAGTGCTGGAGCTGGCCAGTAGGGCCGAAAGCTCCCCACAAACCAGGCTTGGTGCTGCCTCCTCTCCTGGTGCAGGCTGACCCTGCTGCTCCAGCCCTGGGGGGAACCACCGCTCCTGCTGCCACTGCCAGCCTCTGCCAGCACCTGGGCCCCAGCAGGGCTGCTGACATTGGGGTTGGGGGTGGGAACCTGTGGCCACCTGCTGCAAGGCAGCTTGGGTGCTGCCCACAAGCAGTGAGCTTGGGCAGAATTTGGGAAAAGTACACACTGTAGCTGAATGTCCTTTTGGAGTTATTGGGTTCGGAGAGCTGGGTCCTAGGCTTCACTCTGGGAAAGGTTTCACCAGAGCTCCTGTTTCAGCGAGGTGTAGGTCAGAGGTGCGGGGGTGGGGGAGTGAGAGGATTCACCAGAGACACAGTGGGGAGCAGAACAGGCAGATCTACTGAAATACACTGCTGAGGGGAGCAGCAGGCGAGTCAGGAGAGGTCTGCTGTATCATGTGTGTAGCTCCCTGGCTGGCTGGGGAATCGAACTCATGCTGCAGTGGCTGTGGATAACTTCAGAGTGCTGAGTTTTAATCCCTTGCGCTACCAGGGAGGCCCTTTAATACATGTTTCTACGCCTTTTTCTTTCTCTTCTTCTGGGACCCCCACAATACAGAGTCTTTTTCTTTACATTGTTCCACAGGCCTCTTACACCTTTTCAATTTTTCAATTTTTTTCCTCTGCATTGTTCTACTTGTACATCCCCCTACATTGTGTTTTGGAGCTTGTTCTCTCCATTGCTTCTGATTCTCTGCTGCTGAGGCCCTCAACTCTATTTTTTAAATCAGCTCTAGTGTTTCTTTGCTTCATCATTTCTAAGTGTAGCTGAGTCATATTTTCTTTATCTTTGTTCTGTTGTTTCATACTGGATTTTTTTGAGTTCTGAAAGTGAAGTTTGAACATTTACTTTGAACCCTTCAGTCATGTTCTGCAGTTCTGCTGGGTGGAGACTCCTCTCACGGTTGTTTTTTTTTTTTTTTTTTTTTTTGCTCTGGTGTTTGTGTTATGTTCTTCTGTCTCATTTTTAACTTTTTTAAAAAATATTTTTAAAAATATTTATTTATTTATTTATACAAGCACTGGGTACAGTCAGAAGCGCGGGAGGGTGAGAGAATTCACCAGAGCCAGAGCGGGGAGCAGAGCAGGCAGAAGGACTGAAGTACACTGCTGAGGGGAGCAGTGGGCGCGGCAGGGGAGTTCTGCGCGCCATGTGGGACCCTCCCCCAGTCGTTGAGGAGCAGCCGGATATTGAACCAGTGCTACAGAGGCTGCGGGCAGCTTCGCAGCCCAGTGCTCAACCTCTGCGCCAACGGGGAGGTCCTCATTTTTAACTTTTTTATGGGTTGTAGTAGGGATAGAGTTTTAGACTGTTGTCTTTGCATCTGCTGAAGTAGTCTGAGGACTGGTACTGGGAGAGGTAGCAGGTATAACAGATGATTGGGGCATCGGGCACCAAGGGGTCACCCCCAATAAGCCAGGAATTTGAACTTTCTGCTGTGCTGCGGGTGCCAGACTTGTGTGGTAGAATCCACAGTGCTCTCTGGAGGGAACACAGATGAACTCAGGCACTTTTTTGGCGCCTGCACCAGTCTCTGTGGCCACCACCTGTGGCTTTGTTTTCCCCCCAGGTTTCATTACTGTAAAGGCAGGAATGGGCACTGAGCAGGTTTTCTGATCCCATGCAGACAGGGTAAAGGAGGAATCAGAGTCCTCAGTGGTTTTGCAGGTTTTTATTGGGATTACCAGGTATATGGCAGGCAGTTGTGCTGGGGGGCCGGGAGGCTGGCAGTCCTCCCAGGCCCCAGCAAATCTTTACACTTTCTCTGGGCTCTCTGGCGTTCTCTACTTCTCTCTCGGCTTCTGCTACTTCTTTCTCAGCTTCTCTTTCGGCTTCCGCTGGCGTCCCCGTGACGCTGCCCTTAAAAGCCCAGTCTCAGTCCAGGTGAATTCCACCTACCTATGCCCATACCCTACTCCAGGTGCCCGCCATCAGGCATGCATTCAGGACCGCAAGGATCCATCATCTATCCTGATGGCGGGAGGGCAGAAATTTTTTCCTTACCCTACAATTACCCACATGTGATATTGTGTTATTGCAAAATACACTTAGAAGTGTGAGCACAGGGCACGCACACCTATAATTACGAATACCCAGGCAGAGAAGCAGGAGATCGTGGAGGCTAAGAGGCTTGGTTCCTGCCTGCCTTCCTACTGCTCTGCCTGTGTATCTGGTCCCCTGCTTCAGCATTAAAGGCCTGTCAGATATAACTAAGGCTCCAAAATTCTTTTTTCATTTTCCCGAATCAACCATGAACCTGCCTGGCCTGGGATGGTTATACAACATCCCCTCTCTGTTATCTGCACAGTCTTA